CTGCCCGTCAATCCTCTCAGCTACCAGAGTGCCGCGCGGAAGGAAGGAAGGAGGGAGTCAGAGATCTTTGCCTAGGGCAGCAGAAATCCTTGCACCGGCCATGTCTAGAACACCACTGATGAGGGTGGCTATCGCACAAGGAAACAGTCACCAGTGAGAGCTCAGCTACTTTACTGGTGCTGCGGGGGGAGCATATTTAATGTGGGTAGTAGTCGCTAAGTACAGGTGTAGCTCTATGTGCGTGTGTATTGGAGAATGTAATTGTGTGTAGCCGTGTGTATCTGTATTTATGGGTGGGTACGGATTTGTGTGCATGCATGCGCATCTGGTAGAACGTATCTGACGCCAAATAGGCCAATTATTTCATTTTGATACCCCTGGCATAAAGGATCTTAGAAAGAATCTCCTGATATTTATGGTTAGTCTGTTCTTCCAATAAAGGATCAAGGAACAGGAGAGCTGATATTGATGGTTACAATTTCCTTCTTCTAAAAAAGGATATTTATTAGTGTGAATTTGGACCATGATCATTTTACATTGTTCGTGTTTCTTTAAATGTAATCCGGTCCCTGCCGCATTTTGCTGTGATACTGGCCAGCCTCTGATATGCTCTGTTTATTTCTGTTTATCTCAGATTTTTTTTTTTTTCAGGGTCTGTGGTTAAAAATAGAAAGTGTTTGTTCTCACACGTCTGGTCTCGGGGTTGGGTCCAACGCCCCAGGCAGACACACAACACTGAAGCGGTTGATTTTAAGGGCTGTGGCAGCAGAATCCGTGACATCACAGTAGCTGGATGTCAGATCCTGGCAACAAGTACAATTATAAAATTAATTTACTGTAATAAATAAACCCAGTGCTGTCTGAGCATGTCTTGATAATGTGCAGTCAGAAACCCTACATTAGCTATAAACCCAGTGCTGTCCGAGCCTGTCCTGATAATATACAGTCAGATCCCCTACATTAGCTATAAACCCAGTGCTGTCCAAACCTGTCCTGATAATGTACAGTCAGATCCCCTACATTAGATATAAACCCAGCATTGTCTGAGCCTGTCCTGATAATGTACAGTCAGATCCCAAACATTAGAAATAAACCCAGTGCTGTCTCAGCCTGTCCTGATATTGTACAGTTAGATTCCCTACATTAGATATATACCCAGCGCTGTCTGAACCTCTCCATATAATGTACAGTCAGATCCCCTACATTAGATATAAACCCAGTGCTGTATGTGCCTGTCCTGATATTGTAGAGTTAGATCCCCTACATTAGATATAAACCCAGCGCTCTCTGAACCTGTCCTAATAATGTACAGTCAGATCCCCTACATTAGATATAAACCTAGTGCTGTCTGAGCATGTCCTGATAATGTGCAGTCAGGTCCCCTAGATATAAACCCAGGTCTGTCTGAGCCTGTCCTGATATTGTACAGTTAGATCCCCTACATTAGATATAAACCCAGCGCTGTCTGAGCCTGTCCTGATAATATGCAGTCAGGTCCCCTACATTAGAAATAAAATCAGTGCTGTCTGAGCCTGTCCTGATAATATGCAGTCAGGTCCCATGCATTAGATATAAACAAAGTACTGTCTGAGCCTGTCCTGATAATGTGCAGTCAGATCCCCTACATTAGATATAAAATCAGTGCTACCTGAGCCTGTCCTGATAACATGCAATCCGATCCCAAACATTAGATATAAACCCAGGTCTGTCTGAGCATATTGTGATAATGTTCAGTATGATTGCCCTACATGTAAACCTAGCACTGACAGAGCCTGTTTTGATAATGTGCCATCAGATCCCCTACATTAGATATAAACCCAGCGCTGTCTAAACCTGCCCTGATAATGTTCAGTCACATTCCGTACATTAGACATAAACCCAACATTCATTGAGCCTGTCCTGATAATGTACAGTCAGATTCAATACATTATAAATAAACCAAGCACTGACGGAGTCTGTCCTGATAATGTAGTCATATTCCCTACATTACATATAAACCCAGCTCTGTCTGAGCCCCTCCTGAATATGTACAGTCAGAACCCCTACATTTGATATAAACCCAGCTCTGTCTAATCATGCCATGATAATGTACAGTCAGATCATTCCATACATTACATGATAACGCAGCACTGTCTGAGCCTGTCCTGATAATGTATAGTCAGATTCCCCAACATTAAATATGAACACAGCAATATCTAAGCATGTCGTGATCAGAGCCAGATTAAGATTGCCCATAGACCCAGGCAGAACCATATTGAGGTCCTCTCCTAGAGGTAGATAGGTGTGTGTGTGATTATGTGTATAGTGTTTGTGGATGTTTTTAATTTGACCCCCTCCTGCTTGTCTTTTGGCAGGAGAGAGTATAATCCCTATTGGTCAATTGGAGGCATGCTGGTGAGCAGGACCCCTGGTGGTCTGGTGGGGGAGCATTGTGGTCTGCACCAATGTCATGTGCATATCACTTTAAGAAGTACCTGCCAGCTCTAAGATAATGACTCAGAGTGCTGTTTGCTGTGCTGTGGTCATTAAAAAGCACTGGGGGAACGGGAGGGAGCTCTTAAAGTAATCAACACCTGATAGATGTGCAGACCACAAAGCTCGCTCAATGAACTGAGGGTGCACAGCTTGTGATTTCACGGACAACTTGTGATTTCCCTGCCCGCTCTGACATTGGGCCCTGAACTGCTGCCCAGGCCGTCTAATGAGTAATCCGGCTCTGGTCCTGACTAGGTGCAGTCAGATCACCTACATTGGATATAAACTCAGCACTGACCAAGCCAATACTAATGTGCAGTCAGAAGTTTCCTAACCATAATAATATTATTAATAATGGTTCTTGCTATACCTGAAGACAAGAATAAACCGGTTTTCGTCAGTGCCTTAACTGAGAGTTGATTTAACAACAAACATTTGTCTGGGACAGTCTGTGTAAGACAGAGCTGAGTGTTCTGCATTGGCTAGATAATATAAGCATTCTACTCTAGACACCATAATCACTACATTACAATAAAATGGTCATACCTTCCAACGAGACAGTCCCAATTTCGAGGTCCTGTCCTGCCGTGCTGTTTTAGTTCCCTGATGTCCCATATCTGGGAAAATGAGAGAAGCACAATGCGAGCACAGTCCCTGGGCAGCACAGTGCGAGCACATTATTAGAAGCACTCGTGCGGTGAAGCAGGCACTAGGACCATGCATATAGCGCTTCAGGTCGTGTACCTGCCAATTGTGGGCATCGCTAGACACATGGCTTGTGCCGCTGATGTCGTCCCCTAAGCGCCCTGCCCACATTTATCCCCAAAATTATTCCTAAAGGGTTCCTCCAAACATTATACCCACTACAGTTTGTTGCAGTGGTTAAGATGTAAGGAGTACTATGGTCCTATTCCTGTTAATGGGTCACACCGGTCACAGAGGGTCCTCTGCTGCTGGCTGTGACAACGTCTGGCTTCTGCAGAGCTGCAGAGTGTCAGCTGACTGCTCTTAGCCTATGAATGCAACGCTCAATTCTGTGCATAGAAATATGCACAGAATTGACAATACCCAGTAAGAAACTCTTGTTCTGGGTTGGCTAATGACACCCCAGTGACACTGCTGGAGATGGAGTTAGACCTCTGACAGCAAATAGGTTAAACTCTGTATGTGCAGCATTTCATAGTGAAAAGCTACACATACAGACTCCAAGCACCATGACTACTTCAAATCAGTGAAGTGGGCATGTGCTCAGAGTTACTCTTTAACATATTTATTAAAAACGACATGGCATTTCCCATACCTTATCTCCCTCACATTGCAGCTATGGACACATAAAACACTAATACACACATACAGATACACGTACGCATATATACATGCACACAAAAAGGCAACGATGCACAGAGACACACACAAGGACAATTGAAGACATACAGTCACGATGCGCGTCTGACAGGGTGTATCTGCCTGTGTGTATTTCTGATTGAGTGTATCTGTGAGTTTGTGTGTGTCTAGCATTGTCTACCTGTGTATGTGCTTGGGAGCATACCTCTCAGTATTTAAAATGGACAAAGAGGGACTTTAATTTTTGGTGTGTGAGTGGTAGTGGGTTGTTCTGAGAAATTTTAGGTGACATAACAATGTATGCACCTTGAAAATAATTTAGAGCAAGAACAATGTATCTTATTTATACAGACTGATTTCTAAACACATTTATTGTAGTTAAGACACATTACTGGAAGTATTATTGCTGTGGAACAACGTTATACACTCAGATACACCATGACCACTCCATAATATGGAGCTCCTAAAAAAGGGGAACAGATGGAGAGAAATGAGGGACAGAGGGATTTGAGCCCTAAATAGGGGCACATGGGAGGTATGTGAGAGTGTGTGTCTGTCAACGAATACATTGTGTGTAAACCTGTGTCTGTGAGCATGAGTATATCTGTGCCTGTGATTGTATGTTTGGGAGAGTTGCTTGTTGTTGTTTTTTTTGTGAGTTCAATTTTTTACGAAGCTGTTTCATGTGTGGTTGGTGACTGTGTGTGTTTGATGATGACTGTCTTCAGTTGGTACCTGTGACAGTGAGTGTGACAGGGCGAGGAGGATGAGTGACAGGGTTGGGGGCAGTGGCAGTGAATTGAGCAGCAAGACTGCAGGGGCATGATCTATACACCAAAACTGCTTAATTAAGCTAAAGTTGTTTTGATGACTATAGTGTCCCTTTAAATAACTCTGTATGTGCATGCATGTATACATGTATACTAAAATGCTGCACATACAGGATCTTTGCACCATAACCACTGCAAAACACTGAAGTGGTCATGTGTCTTGGAGTAACCCTTTAACAATTGTTGAAATGTGTCTTTATTGTTATTTTTAACAGGTCCACAGAAAGTCCACAATAGTCCCTCTGCCTGTCTCACCCCAGCCTCACCTCTAAATAGTCTCTCAGGGCATTTAAATATTGTGTTATTAAAGGACCACTATAGGCACCCAGACCACTTCAGCTTAATGAAGTGGGCTGGGTGCCTGGTCCAGCTAGGTTTAACCCTTTTTTCTATAAACATAGCAGTTTCAGAGAAACTGCTATGTTTATAATAGGGTTAATCCAGCCTCTAGTGGCTGTCTCATTGACAGGCGCTTCCGCGCTTCTCACTGTGAAAATCTCAGTGAGAAGACGCCAGCGTCCATAGGAAAGCATTGTGAATGCTTTCCTATGAGACTGGCTGAATGCGCGCGCAGCTCTTGCCGCGCATGCGCATTCAGCCGAGGAGGCGGAGAGGAGGAGGAGAGTCCCCCGCCCGGCGCTGGAGAAAGAGGTAAGTTTAACCCCTTCCTCCCCCTAGAGCCCGGCGGGAGGGGGACCCTAAGGGGTGGGGGAAGCCTCAGGGCACTATAGTGCCAAGAAAATGAGTATGTTTTCCTGGCACTATAGTGGTCCTTTAACCCCTTAAGGACACATGATGGAAATATTCCGTCATGATTCCCTTTTATTTTTGAAGTTGTGTCCTTAAGGGGTTAAAAGCTATTACATACTGTAGCAAACAGACAGGACACACGTTTTGGTTGAGCAGTAAGATAAACATTGTTAGCCTTACAGCATTGTCCTGTCATGTGAGTGCCTACTGCCATTGTTAAAAGGATTATTATTTATTTATTTATTTATAAAATATTTTACCAGGAAAGATACATTGAGATTTCTCTCGTTTTCAAGTATGTCCTGGGTCCACAAATCATTGCATTGTTACATTAGGTACAACAAAATACAAAAACAATATTATTACACAATATATACAAAATTTAACATAGAACAGGCAGGAAATATATAATCAACCATGACACGTGCATTCTGTTTTGAGGTATGTAGAGAGGGATCTCTTAAATGACTTTAGGCTTAGGGAAGATTTTAAATTGTGCGGGAGGTCGTTCCACAATTGCGGTGCTCTGTAGGAGAAGGAGGATCGGGCCGCTTTCTTTTTGTATTGAGGTAGACTAAGTAAAGTGCTTGTACTGGATCGGAGCTTATAGAAAGTGGGAACAGCTGGGGAAAGCATTTTGTTCAGGTAGGGTGGGAGTTTCCCAGAAAAGCTCTTAAAAACAAGGCTGGAAAGATGAAGGGTGCGTCTGGATTCCAGCGACAGCCAGTTTAGTTCCTTTAGCATGTCACAATGATGGGTCCTGTAATTACATTGTAGCACAAATCGGCAGAACGAGTTATACAATGTGTTGAGTTTATTAATGTGGGATTGCGATGCAGACGCATATACTACATCCCCATAATCAATGATTGGCATCAGCATTTGCTGTACAATCTTTTCCTTTACTGTAGGGCTTAGGCAGGCTTTGTTTCTGTACAGGGCACCTAATTTTGGATAAAGTATAGATGCAAGCTTTTCTATGTGCAGGCCAAAAGATAGATTGGGTCTAATATCATACCCAAGTATTTGAAAGAGTGGACTGCGGTCAGTGTGCCATTTGAATTTGTTTTGATGGATAGGTGGGAATTGTGTAATTTGTGTGATTTAGGTACTGTTCCAAAGATCATTGTGACAGTTTTGTCAGTGTTCAGGAAGAGTTTGTTTTTTGCGATCCACTTTTCTACCTCTGTAAACTGGTCTTGGAGCAAAGCCTCAAGTTGCGGTAGATTAGGTTTGCTCGCATAGATTACCGTGTCATCTGCGTACATGTGTACATTTGAGGATTGGCAGACATAAGGCAGATCATTTATAAATAATGTAAATAGTAGGGGGCCGAGAATGGAACCCTGGGGAACACCACATGTGACCGGGAGAGGGAGGGAGTCACTGTCAGAAATGGACACATATTGCGAGCGATCCGATACATACGATCGAAACCAGTTTAAAGAATGATCACCAATACCTGAGTTTTCGAGTTTGTGCAGTAGAATGTGGTGGTCTACTGTGTCAAAGGCCTTAGCAAAATCAAGGAAAATAGCTCCAGTTAGGGCTCCTTGTTCCATGCCAGTTTGGATGTCATTGCAAACTTTTAGGAGGGCAGTTGTAGTGGAGTGATTCTGGCGAAAGCCCGATTGATCAGAGGTCAGATAGTTTAATTGTTGGTAGTACTCACAAAGTTGCGTATGGACACATTTTTCTAAGATTTTTGACAATACCGGGAGCAATGATATTGGGCGATAGTTAGAAACCAAAGTAGTGTCACCACTTTTATGGATAGGCACTACTCTTGCAGTCTTTCAAAGTTTGGGTATGTATCCAGACACCAAGGATTCGTTAATTAGAGTTGAGACGGGTTTAGCAATTGCCGGCGCACTGAGCTTCAACAGCATTGCTGGGATTTGATCAGGTCCGGACTGGTTTTTCATTTTTAGATTATTAAGATGTTTTTTAATGACACTCAGGCCCGGACTGGCCATCGGGCACACCGGGCAAATGCCCGGTGGGCCGCGGTGGCCGTGGGGCCGAGGCCGGCAGGGGAGGTCCCAGGATCTCCCCTGCCGGTCTATGCAGGGCCGGCACTATCCGAGCGCCGGCCCCGCTGTCTTCCACGGAGGGCCGGTGGGGAGATCAAAGAGCTCCCTCACCGGCCCATTTAAATAAACCTGCGGCTGGGGAGGGAGGGAGAGGACCCGGCGGAGCTCTGTCTTGCAGCTCCGCCGGGTTCCTCTCGCGAGATCCGGCGCGTTGCCATGGCAACGACCGGATCTCGCGAGAGTGAACTCTAGCCCGCAGGCTAGAGTTCACTCACCACTGGACCACCAGGGATGATGTGAGTGTGCCGGTCCCCCCTCCTCCCAGCTACCACCATGCCGGTCCCCCCTCCCAGGCTAAAGGTAAGAGGGAGGGGGGATTTAATGCCTACTTAGGTTTTTTTTAATTTCTTTATTTACCCCCCCCCCACCCCCTTAGTTTTTTATTTACCCCCCCAACACACATTTACACACAGCACTCTCACACACATCATACACAGCACTCTCACACTCATCACACTCTGCACTCTTACACACAGCACTCTCACACTCATCACACTCTGCACTCATCACACTCTGCACTCTCACACACATCATACACAGCACTCTCACACTCATCACACTCTGCACTCATCACACTCTGCACTCATCACACTCTGCACTCTCCCACACATCATACACAGCACTCTCATACACAGCACTCTCACACTCATCACACTCTGCACTCTCACACACATCATACACAGCACTCTCACACACATCACACTCTGCACTCTCACACACATCATACACAGCACTCTCATACACAGCACTCTCACACTCATCACACTCTGCACTCACACACAGCACTCTCACACTCATCACACTCTGCACTCTCACACACAGCACTCTCACACTCATCACACTCTGCACTCTTACACACATCATACACAGCACTCTTACACTCATCACACTCACACACATCATACACAGCACTCTCATACACAGCACTCTCACACTCTGCACTCTCACACACATCATACACAACACTCTCATACACAACACTCTCACACTCTGCACTCTCACACACATCATACACAGCACTCTCATACACAGCACTCTCACACTCATCACACTCTGCACTCTCACACACATCATACACAGCACTCTCACACACATCATACACAGCACTCTCATACACAGCACTCTCATACACAGCACTCTCATACACAGCACTCTCATACACAGCACTCTCACACACAGCACTCTCACACACAGCACACTCTGCACTCACACACATCATACACAGCATCATACACAGCACTCTCACACCATCACACTCTGCACTCTCACACACATCATACACAGCACTCTCATACTCTGCACTATCATACACAGCACTCTCACACTCAGCACTCTCACACACATCATACACAGCACTCTCACACACAGCACTCTCACACACATCATACACCGCACTCTCATACACACATCATACACAGCACTCTCACACTCAGCACTCTCACATGCATCATACACAGCACTCTCACACTCAGCACTCTCACACACATCATACACATCACTCTCACACACAGCATTCTCACACACATCACACTCTGCACTCTCACACACATCATACACAGCACCCTCACACAAATCAATCACATACAGCACCCACACACAGCACCCACACCTCACACACAGGATCCATCACACACACATACTGCACTCCTCACATACACACACAACCCCCGATACACTGCCTAACACACATACACAATACTTCCAAACATATTTATATAATATATATACACATATAAATATACACACAGCACCCCTCACACACACACACAGCACCCCTCACACACACAGCACCCCTCACACACACACACACACAGCACCCCTAAACACATTTCATTCCAGACACACATTAGATCCTCTACCCAACTCTGGATCATCTACACACATACACACACTAGATCCCTATATACACTCTGAATCCATTATATACGCACGCTCACTAGATCTCCTATACATATTCTGGGTCCTTCAAACACACACACACTCTGGATCCCCTATACGCACACTAGATTCCTTATAAGCAAACACATACTACATTCCCTGAACACACACTCTCTACAAACACTACATCACCTACACACACACACTATAGCCTGTATACACACACTTGCTACATCCCCTAAACACACATTCTCTAAAGCCCCTAGCCACATATGCATTACATTACACCACAAACACAACACGACTAAAACCGACCTTATTACACAATACCACACCACGACCAGCTCACTCTGCACACACGCAATACCCCAAGCAGGCTCCAAAACACATGCACAATACTCTTTCCTGACCCATTTGTCTCCTGGTATCCATTTATAGAGACACCAGAGACAAGTTGCAAGGAAACACAGTGCAAGCATGTTATTAAATTTGCTTGCACTGCGCAGAACAAATACAGGGCTTTTTTCTCATGCTAGAGCTCTTCAGCAGAACTCTGTGCATGGTCTGCCCTGGAAGAGCATTGAACCAACATGCTCACTTTGAGAGGGGGCGTGTTTGTCATGAGTGATGACAAAACACACCCTCTCTGCCCCGCCCCCTTCTTAGTGGGCCGCTGTGATAAAAAAATGCCCGGGCCAAATTTTTTTCCCAGTCCGGCCCTGATGACACTAACAGGTACAGGTCTAAAATTAAACTTATCTATATTGGGCCTTTGCAAATTTAGTGGGGCCTGATCCACATTTGTAGTTTCAGGATGCGTGTCATTTATTAGCTTGTCAATCAGGGCAATAGAGCATCCGACAAAATAATTGTTAAAGGCATTTGAAACATCTAAAGGAAGTTGCAGGGTTTGGTTACCCACTTTGACAGTGGAGGGTTGGGAGTGGATTGGGGGAGTTTGTAGTTTATTTATGACTTTCCAAAAGTTTCTAGGGTTTGAGATGTTACTGTTCAGATTTTCATAGAAATATTGGGCCTTGGCCAGTTTTGTCTGTTTTGTGCATATATTTCGCCATTGTCTATATGCACCGTGATCATTCATAGAGCCAGTACGCTTAAACTTTGACCACAAAGAATCCCGAAACTGGTACATTTGTTTTGTAATGGGAAGCAGGAAGGATTAATTCAGGAGAGCAGTGCATATTGGTTTTCAGTACTGTGGCACTAGTTACATAGACTGTGTCTTATTTATTAAATGGCAGGACCAAGAAACAACCTGGATATAATGTAAATCAGAAGTACGACCAGCCGAACATACACACTAGGACAGGGATAGGCAACCTCCGGCATTCCAGATGTTGTGGACTACATCAACCATAATGCTCTTACACCCATAATGCTGGCAAAGTATCATGGGAGGTGTAGTCCAACACATCTGGAGTGCCGAAGGTTGCCTATGCCTGCACTAGGAGGTATGCCAGTAAGGTAGTAAGAGTCGGGCAGTCCGCAGTGTAATGTCATGCCAAAACGGTGGCATTTCAGCCTGGCAAACAATAAAATGACAATATGTGATTCAAAGCTAGCTTCCTTCTTTATTTCTCAAACAAACATGGGACGAGAGGACAGAGACCAAAAAATTGGGACTGCCTGACCAAATCCGAGACAATTGGGATTATGCCAGTGTCCAGTACAACTTTTTTCTTATTTACTTTAGGAGTCACTTGTGACACCCATACCATAGGCATATGCGGTTTTACATAGATTTTAGATATTAAAATTAATACATGCCACTCTATTACAGTTGTGCTCTGTTATACGTTGTCATTTTCAAGCCTTGTGGCATAGAGACCTGGGTCATTCAGATTCACAGAAGGAGACTGTTTATAACTCTCCTAACCCTACGATTATGGTAATGAGGACCAGGCAGAGTTCCTGTGTGTGGGGTCTCGGGAGCTCAACAACTCTACAAATGGACTGATCATTGAGCCCAGAGAGAAGGCCAAGATTCTTCAGGAGAGAGGATCTCATATGTAAAGTGAAGAATGGATTAACATCTGATTTAGAGTTCCTCTGGGCTGCAACCAAAACCCTTTTTGTTTGTTGAGCTCATGCGCTGTATTACTGACTCTCTCCTGTTACCCTCAGCAGGCCTTAATAGCCCCAGGTTCAAGGGAGGACCGTGTTTGGTCATACAGTTCAATGCCTGCTACTTATCCTCCCTTATATTGGGACCTGTTTTGTTTTTTTCTGTGTCTTCTATCTATTGCCTATTCTTAAAGAGTCAGTCATAATCTGTTCTCCATTTTCGACTTCTGGAAGCATATGAAGCTTCAAATTAAATGAGGAATCTTTTGACATTTCCTTTGGATTAACTTCCATTCTGACAGTTGCCAAACATCACTATTTCCTGTCTCATGTACGGTTTACTGTGCAGTTATGTCTTCTGTCATGATTCCAAGGGAGACCCTTTGCCTGTGGCCTAATTTTCTGGGAATTTACTGCCCTATGTTTTCTCCGTAGGACTTAAAGAGGCGGAAAGTTAATTTACTTCAACCAGGGTCTCAGCTTAATACCACGGTAGCAGAGAGCTACTCACCCCACTGTGGTTACTGTCCAGCTATTTTTGCTGGAGGCAGGGGACTTTATTAAGAGCAGTTTTGTGTTGTCTGTGCATGTTTTCCCGTCCCTTAAACGTGAGTTTGAATTTCCCGAGAGGGTGTTTTCTGTTTTGGGGCTACCTACCTCTTTCAAAATTTGCACTTTTATCACATGCAAACTTTCTAATAACACCTTGTTACAGTGCTAGGCAGAAATGTGGGTGATTGCTACTTTTGAGTATATAAATTGCCAACACAAGAACTGTTTATTGTTTATTTAAAGTTATGTGTTGTTTTTTTTGTTTTGTTTTGTTTTTGATTGTTTCTATTACTCACATGTTCCTTGATTATGCCAAACACACATGATTTGCTGTCTGGCTGTAGGACACACTGGAAAAATTGTACTCCTTTTAATGAAGTATTATTAAAATAACGTTAATGGACATTACAGGAACATTTTGGCATGAAATGGGAATTTAACGGGAACCAACTTCTATTATATTAAACTTATAAAATAAATGTCACTTTTATTAAAGGTAAAAAAAAAAAAAAAAAAGTACCACATTCTTTTCAGAGTCTTCCTATAAAACCTTGAGCCAATTCTATCTTAATCCCAGCAGATCATGCCACATTTTTCTCATGACCACAAGCCTTTGTATTCACAGGCAACTTGGTACATATCTTCATATTTTGTATACATGCCCTCGCATTCAGTATACCCAAAGAGGAGTGTTTTAACATTTTAAGCAATGGTGTAGGAACCAGGAGGATGTGGTTGCCCAAGAAAATCTGTTGTAGCTTTTAAGATCATATGTTTTACTGTTTAAGAAAGATGCGAAAAACGAAACATATGTTAAAAGAGTTGGTTATCACATTCTATTATAGATTCCATGGTGATTATATATAATTTTGCCCATACAAAACTGCATAAAACTGTATGCTCCTTAAGTAGGGATAGGGTTACTATAGGCTGTCCCCCACATTCCCTTTTCAATATTCCTTAGCCTCTAAGTTGATCATTTTAAGCTGCTAGTATATGTGTATCCAGATTTTGGAAAGGTCCAATATTATGCCATATCCCAAACACAACCTGGCAAATGAATACAATTTAAAAAAATGGTACCTTTTTCCTTGAAACCTAGGACATTTAACCCCTGTAACCAGGCTATTGTAGTTCCCCACTGCCAGAAACATGTTCAGTTCATTTAAAGTATCACTATAGTGTCAGGAAAACAAACCCGTTTTCCTGAAACTATATAGTCCTTAGGTCCCCCCGACCCTCAGGGCTCCCTTCCTGTTATGCTGAAGGGATTAAAACCCCTTCAGCTACTTACCTTAATCCAGCGCCGGGCTCCCTCAGCACTGGTGACCTCTCCTCACCCACCGACATCAGCTCCCGAGTGGAGCGGAATGCGCATGCGCGGCATTTCTCAATGCTTTCCTATGGACGTTCTGTACGCTGGATGCGAATTTCGCATCCAGCGTCGCAGAAGCGCCTCTAGCGGCTGTCAGGAAGACAGCCACTAGAGGCTGGATTAAACCTGCTATGTAAACATCTGAAGGGTTAAAACCTGGGGGACCTGGCACCCAGACCACTTCATTGAGATGAAGTGGTCTGGGTGACTATAGTGTCCCTTTAATTTTGTTTACTTTTTTTACCTCTCCTGTTTTATTCTTTTCTTTCTTGGAAATAATTTATGTTTCTCTTTACTTGTAACAGTGTTTCCTCATCCATTGTGTTGTCAAAGACTATTGTCTTGTGAGATCTATATTTAATCTGTTTCATTCTCTTGTGGTATTTATTATATTCTTGAAAATTCAATAAATTATCTTTTGAAAAATAAATGTATTAATTTTAGCGCACTAGTCATTTGTTTATTGATATGTTCTCCTACTCCGCACCTGTTGGAGCACTCCATGGCTCAGTTTTATATCCACGTCTCATTTTCGTTTACACTATCTCTCTTAGCAATCCTTTGGATTCCTAAAATCACTCAAATACACCTTCCCCCCTCCTAATCTCTCTGCTTCCTATTGGACTATGCCAATAATTGCCTTTCTTCTGCCTAACTGGATGACTTCAAAACTCAGTTGAGGTTTTCTTCTGCCCACTTCCAGATATCCAATCAGCCTCTAAATCCTACTCTCTGAAGAAGTAGGGGTTCACCTACGAAACGCGTAAGACAATTAGACATATCCATCAGGACACAGATCCAGCATACACCCATCAATAGAAGGCAGTATTCTTCCAGGACCTGTTGGTGTGCTCACATATCGGAGCCGTCCACAGTGCACGTCCCTTTGGAGTGAGTCTTCTGTTGGGACGCACGCTGAAAATCACGCTGTCCTCACCAGCTGTTACAACACAAGCGGCAACTTATGAATACAATCCATATCCATCCGAGCATAATCCAAAGGTCTCTGCACACTTCTGACTTCTATATGACTAGTAACATCTGTATGAACTTTTCCTGATATATATTTTTTAGCATAAATACTTTTTTATCATTTTTGTCTAATAAACTGTTTTTTCACTTACATCCAGTTTCTGAACCATTGCTTTTAACCATTTTGTGATACAATGTATAATATTTTAGCATACAGTTCCATATACTGTATTCCTATAATATTTTATCATTTTACTTTTATTTTCATTTGTATATTTTTATCTTTGCATGATACAAAGTATATAATTTGAAGTAAGTGCCAGCTGCTCTGTTCTATAGCAAAAATAGAGGCACTTGCACTGCACATATTGCATAAGATTATATATTTATTTGCTGTTTGTCGATCTCCAATTCGCTTTATCTGGTTCTATTTTCTTCCCTTATACATTGATCTTGTTTTTATATTTTTACATGAGCTTTTGGTTTTCCCTTAAAGGCACAGTACCAATATTTAAATTTTTAATATTTTTATATTCTCTCACGCAGATATTGCCATTTTAATATATATCTCTACACATTTTAGTCATATCTTAGGCCAGCTCCTGGTATTTGTACACGTAATTAGTGTCCTCCCATACTATTTCTAAATCCTACTGACTGCATTCTGAAAATGTGGCTTTTTTTGTCCACCCCCTTTCTCACACACAATGCAAAGAAAGTCCTTGTTCATGCACTTATAATCTTGTGTCTCAATTACTGCAAGTCAATCTGCATCATTCGCACAGGTGCCTGGATTACTGTAATGAATACTCTTTTAGGATTACCTACCTTAACTGCTGAACTCTGTCCATTCCCTGTCTCTTTCTAGCTACTCCTCTGACAAACCTGGCTGTGAGTTCCACAGTTTCACATTTAACTGATACAGACCTGCGGGTCTTGTACTACGTTGTGTAGTCGATATGAAAAAATATGGGAAAAAAAAAAGAAAATGACAAGAGAATATCTTGTCTAAATAAACAGATATTCACAACAACAAAAAAACAATAAAACTTCTCTAATTTGCATGTAGATCCCATTGTTCCTCTAACTGAAAACAATGTATGCCTGCTCTCTGTTCAAACTCCAGAGTAGGGTTAAACATTACAGACCATAGGTGGCTGCCTAAGACCCAAGGTTTAGACAGGTCCTTTCTATACATGGGGTCTTGTGTGATCTTAGTCCTTCTTTGCTCCCAACTCTACTTCTCACTTGCATGATATTACCCCATACTTATTATGACTCTCTGCCTCCATTATCTTCTCATCATGTCCTCCCTCTCCTATCTACAAAGCTCACTGCTAAATAATATCAAACTCTCTCCCTCCCCATCTTTAAAAGTTTCAGGAATACTCATCTTCTTAAGAAGTTCAAAAATAACTCAACTAATCGTGATATTCCATGTTTCCATTATCTACACTACACACTTATTTTGGTATTAGTCCTCCACTCAGCCTGCTTATGACTTGGGTCTCACCTGCTCCTTTCCTTGTAGATTATAAACTTGTGGACAGCTTTTCAAAACATACTGTGTGTCCATCAAAGTACATTTTGTAATTATTATTATTATACCTTTTACTTAATGTAAGAAGTGCTAGGGTTATTGTTGACAGTATATAAAAGTGATGATGATACAAAAAAAATTGAAAAATAAGAGAAAAGCAGTCAAGGTTTGGAAAAATGAGTTACAAGTATCTAAGTACAGATCAGTCATAGATACTGGATAGAAGGAGAGATTAGGTAGAGATCTATATCAGTGCAATGGGTCAAACTATCCTTTATTGGGAAAAGGGATTAGGATCAGGAAACATTCCATTGTTTTGAAGCATTAATGGATTCGGGGTCAGTGGATGTGTGTATCTGAGATTTATTTCTATGTGGGTGAATTGTGTTTGTGGATGCAGTCGCGGGCGAAAACAACATAACAACTTCATCTCAATGTAACATCCCATCCATACCTTGGGGTATTAAATCATTTTCAAAAGTCTTAAAACTAAATTGAAGTCCTCAAGTGCCTGCCACGCTCCCTCTACTGTCTTCTTCTCATCGGTTCTGCTATTGGGGAGTCTCAGCTTACTACTGGCAGGTACACCAATGCTTCCCTAATAGCAGAGCAGTTGAAAAAAAGATAGTCGGCAGCGTGACAGGCACCCAGAAACTCCACTTTGGTGTCAAATATAGTTTAACGTTGTAAGATAAGTTGGTGCCCAGCAGCTCCAAGAAGGTTGCCTATTACGTTCTTGAGAAGATAGCTTAGGGATACAGAAATAGAATCTCAGAGCTTAGGGATACAGAAATAGAATCTCTAGAACTTCAGATATGCACAGTTGATAAAGAATACAGATAACATGTTTTACATTTTGTTTTCAATATCAAGCTTGTAAGGTTACAAAGGCATTTATTCACTAAGGTCTCATTTCCAATGTTGTCAGTAAGTTTTACCAACAAGCTGTTACTGGCTAAAACGGGTGTTACTAATGTTAGCGAGTAGCCGCTGTTTCTCCATTACAAAGTCCTACCATTAGCAACTTGTAATTCTCAGCTGACAAGACTTTTATTGGTTCCCAGAATAATAGGAGCCAATAGGCGCAGGTTACCAAATTCTTTCCATGCTTGTCTTACCTGCTGACACTATCTAGGTGAAAATAGACGAAGTCCAGTTAACACCAGTTAAATCTCCATGCATTCTTTAGAGAAAGAGATGACCAGCTCCATCTAACTAAGCCAATTGGCACTCTCATTTATTTAAAAAAAAGTGCCCCCTGAAATCCCAATAATATTGGGTAGGTGGCCTACTGCTTCCTTCTGCTGACAGACTTTGGGGTGTACGATAATCACATCGGGCTAGGAGATCAAGAGTCTCCTGGCTTGTAATTTGCCTGATGGAGCTAAAAGATGCACAGTCTCCTAGTCCCTAAGGAATTAGCCCAAGGGGAACCGGGTTATAGTACATGTCCTGACCCTATAGTATGTCTCATTTCCCATCCTTAAGAGCACAGTCTGTGTGGATTGTCTAGTCTAAGAGTGAAGATTTTATTATTTTCTGAAATTTAGTTTTATTTTTTTCAGCTTCTTTAAATGGAGGGTAAGTGTGTTTAATATATTGGGGGGAGGAAATTGGGCCTCTCCAAAGTCTCTCTACATTTTGTAAGGTTAACCCCCCCCCCCCCATTTGGGTGTGTGTTTGTGTGTAGTGTGTGTGTGTGTGTGTGTGAAGGTTCAGTGTGTGTGTGTGAAGGGTGCTGTATGTGTGTGTGGGTGAAAGGTGCTGTGTGTGTGGGTGAAAGGTGCTGTGTGTGTGTGTGTATGGTGCAATGTGTGTGAAGGGTTGTGTGTGTGTGTGTGTGTGTGTGTGTGTGTGAAGGGTGGTGTGTGTGTGTGTTTTTTGTGTGAAGGGTGGTGTGTGGGTGTGTGTGTGTTTGTGTGTGAAGGGTGGTGTGTGGGTGTGTGTGTGTGTGTGAAGGGTGTCAGTGTGTGTGTGAGGGGGCAGTGTGTGTGTGTGGGGTGATGTGTTTGTGTGTGAGGGGTGCAGTGTGGGGTAGTATGTGTGTGAGGGGGCCAGTCTGTATGTGAGAGGGAAGTCTGTGTGTAAGGGGGCTGCCTTTCGCGGGAGGAACACAGACCTTCCCAGGCCCTTTCTTCTGCTGGAACTAAGCGGGCTTTCAGCAAGGCTAGCTCTGCAAGGACTGGCAAGCCTTGGTTCACGGCCATCGAGGCCCACCGGGCGTTTTCTGCAGAACCCACCACCGCACACCTGATATCCCAAACTGCCCTCTAGTGTGCCATAGGGACCAGGTTGACTACCCATGAACAAGATGATCACATATTGTTTCAACAGTTGATACAAAGCAGAATTTAGACACGTTTGAAATATTGCAGGAGCCTTCCCTAAGGGCATCACTAAGTATTCAGATGTTTGCATTTGCTAATCAACATATTAGGACCACTATAAGCACCCAGACCACTTCAGCTTAATGAAGTGGTCTGGGTGCCAGGTCCAGCTAGGATTAACCCTTTCTTCTATAAACATAGCAGTTTCCGAGAAACTGCTATGTTTATGTTAGGGTTAATCCAGCCTCTAGTGGCTGTCTCATTGACAGCCGCTAGAGGCGCTTCCACGCTTCTCACTGTGAAAATCACAGTGAGAAGACGCCAGCGTCCATAGGAAAGCATTGAGAATGCTTTCCTATGGACTGGCTGAATGCATGTGCATTCAGCCGATGACGGCGATATGGAGGAGGAGAGTTCCCTGCCCGGTGCTGGAAAAAGAGGTAAATTTAACCCCTAGAGCCCGGTGGGAGTGGTACCCTGAGGGTGGGGGCACCCTCAGGGCACTATTGTGCCAGGAAAATGAGTATGTTTTCCAGGCACTATAGTGGCCCTTTAACCAATCTTCTTTGTAAATCCTTATCACATTATGCAAACTATACAGATGATACTTTGAATTTATAGGCCCTCCAAAAGACTCAACAATGATGCTAAGCAAGTATTTGTCTCTTCCGTAGCTTTGTGCAATTTGTGGCAATAAAAAGAAACACAAGATGATATGCCTGGTAGTCATGGAATTGTGTGTGTGTATATAACCTTCAATAAGTTAAGGCCAGTCCACAGTAGTGATAATGGCATGGTATTCTTCTCTTTGACAACTCATCAGCAGTGGGTTAAAAAGAAACTTTAAGCACCATTACCACTATACCTATTGTATTGTTATGGTGCAAGGACTATTGACTACTAGCTGTTACCTTGAGATGAAATTGCATGATTTTAACATTAGTCACTATGATAAGCACAAGGTTTCACCAAAAACATTACTTGGCTGGCAGTTCTGAAATTACTTTTTTATGTCGGTTACCTATTGAGCAATTACATGTCAAGTCACATGTTGAGAGTGATGTAATCCAAGAATGACTGCTAAGGGCATCTCCTGCATCCACACCTGTAATTGTGCAAGTCGGCCCTGAAGGTGCAAGACAAATCGTCCAAGTTTATTTTCTTGTATATTAATGGTGTTCAGGCTACTCAGCGATCTCCCCAGGTTCCATGGTTGTTATGCTAGATTTTGGACAGTGGAGATCAATATTCAGTAGAATACATCTGTGCAAACTGTGCAGACTTACTTGTAAGATTATTGATTATATAAACAAGGTCACTCTAGAAGGTTTCAAATGTCAACCCAGGAATTTCATAAGGACAATCTGGATTTAATCAACAAAACAAGAGCCAGTATTCAGGATATTAGAAAAAGGAGTAAATAATTAACTAGTATGCTAATTTCTCATCAAAGTACAGAAACAACAGAGATATATCTTGATGGCACAGGATATTTTATACGGTGAACTGCCAAAGCCTCAACTTCTCTGGTTTTCTCCGATCACCTGATTCATTGACAAATGCATGAATGAACATAGAACTCTAGAGAAGGTGGACCCTCATCAATGTACATCTACAGAAGAGGCATGAGCTTAACATGAAACTGTGTTCCATGTATGGAAGCCTACCACTGGGATGCGACTTTCAGTTTATAAATATATTGTAAATAAAATATAGTCCTTTACTCCTCCTATTTTTTAAATAAAAAGTTGTAGAATTGTGTACTTTGGGTTGTATACATATATCCCAGTCACGGTACCTGTATCTTTGACGCCGATCCCACATCATTTTGTGGAGCTAGTTTCTGTCTCTGCTCCATATCCGCATCATTTTTTGGCACTGTCTCTGCATCATTCTCTATTCAAGTAATAATGGCACGGAACACTTTCTTCACGCTCCTACTTTTGTTTCCCACAGCAATGCCCATCAATAAAATAATGCAAACGCGCCTGTATCATTTTTACGACGTAGATGTTGTACATTTATGCATCGGAGGAATGATGCCAACCAATTTAAGAGGTTTTTTTTTTTTTACCTATTTAAACTTTTCCTCTTGACTTGACCTTTGCCCTCCTCAATGTATAAATCCTGAAGTCTAGAAGTCTGTTTTCCACAGTGTTTCAATGTTGAGGCCTAGAGCATTATCTCAGTGTATATAAGACACAAGTGTTCTCACTAAATACTCTATAAATATACAGCTCAAGAAAGCTAACTTGCTTTGTGCATACATACTGAGATATGTACTATATAAATATTGGTATATAGAAAACTTTCTTTATAAATCTTTCTTTAAATACTGATCTATATCTCAACAGAACAAGATGTAAATATTGAGTTCTATGTATCTCGCTCAGCAAAAGAAAACATTTGCCTCCCAAGTCTATATATATCAAGGTCTATCTTCCCATTTGCATAAATATTGATATTTAGAGATGTAGTGTACATAGATAGAACTGTAGAAACCTATATTCACCGGTTTAAAATTTTGGGGGTGAAGAAATCCATCAGTTAGTAAATATTGAAGGTGTATGATTTGGTAGAGTTCAGAAATATTGGCCATTGGCCACTTCCATTCCAGTCAATGTAATGGGCCACTTACATCATGGCCGTCCTAAACTCTGGGATAAAAAGTTCTGTGTGTAGGGGTGTTGTATAAATATTTTGCTGAACATATTTTCCTCCTGTGTATGAATACTGAAGTCTAGAAGTCTGTTTCCCACAGTGTTTAAATATTGAGGCCTAGAACATTATCTCACCAATGTATACAAGACTTAAGTGTCCTCACTAAATAATATATCAATATACAGCGCCTTAAATCTAACTTCCTTTGTGCATAAATGCCAAGGTATATAGGTTTATCTCCCCTACTATATAAATATTACTGTATACAATCTTATTTTTCTATAAATACTGATGTATACCTCCACAGAACAAGATAGACATATAAAATTCTATGTATCTCATTTAATAAATGAAAACTAGAATATAATTTGCCTCCCAAGTGTAAAAAAATATATCAAGGTCTATGTCCCCTTGTGTATAAATATTGATATTTAGAAATGTAGCGTAGAAAGACAGAACTGTAAAAATCTACCTTTACCAAAGTAAAAACGTTTTAGGGTGGAGAAATTAGTCGGTTAATAAATATCGAAAGTTTATGAGTCGGTAGAGTACAAAAATATTGGCCATTGTATTTAAGCATTTATTGTGATAATGTCAGACCCGAACCAACCCCAGTCAATATAATGATACTTTCATCACCGTCATTCTGCTGTATTTTATTTTTTTAAATGAAACGCTTAAGCTATTATAAAAACGTACGATGGTACAGGATATCACTAGGTCACAAAACAATAACGTGTAAAAGAATATGAAAAAAATGGGCGTACAGATTTTTTTTGTTTGCCTTTTTCTGGATCAATAAAAAGCATTTAAGGGTGTAGCTAAAGGTTATAGTTTAAATAAATACTCGGCTGTGTGCATTTGCATCTCTATGTCTGCACTGATATTGCACAGTGAATATTTAGATATTCTTATAAGAGGGGAAAGCTAGTGCCTAGGGGAAAAACACAGAATTTATTTGGCCCCAATTGCTTCATCGAGCTGGTGCTTAGTGAAGTGTAGAACAATCTTCGCTTAGTGAGCTTCGGGCTGTGCAAACCTATTTCTTGTGTCCTTGGCCAGTGGGGGAGGATCCACCTGCTCTCAGGTGCTGGGCTGTTTTAAGTAAGGTATAAAGCTGCGGGGAGGAGTTCTCTACCTTTCTAAAGCAAAAGAGGTAACGGCACAAGAAGACACAGAGAAGTACTCATCTGCCAACAGTAACAGGATATACCATACTGCCCGGATTAAAAGGATGTACCCCTCAGCAAAGAACATGTGTTTCGTACTACTTATCTGCATGTCCTGTGTCTTAAGTAAGTGAACAATTTTTGTCGTAGTAAGAAACTGTAATGCTTTGTGCCATCCCGAAAGCTGGATAAACTACAAAAACTGTTCAGGGTTTTTTTGAAGATTAAGTAATAAGGTTTTTTGTTGGCTGAGTCTGAGTTAGTGCAAGAAAATTAAGGATTGTGCCAGCTTAGTGTGAGTGAACGCATTATTAGTTATTTTTTGGTGGCATATGCGTGAACCTTGAAATAGCAATGACGTTTCTAAAAGGCATAATCTATAAAGTTCTTGGTAGCCGAGTCTCAGTGACTGTCTGCTGAGTCTGAGTGCACCGAGGATTTTGTGACATAGTCTGCTGAGTTTGAGTGATTTTGTTTACTGAGACTGAGTCTGAGTAAAAGAAAGATGAGAGACGTACTGTAATGTCTATCCATCTCTTTGTCTCCTGTCTGTCTGTCTTCTGCTTACTCTGTCTGTCTTATTATTCCTGCACTCTCTGTCCATGTTATAAACAGTCTGTCTACTGTACTCTCTGCCCATCTTATTCCCGGTCTGTCTACTGTACTCTGTGCCCATCTTATTCCCAGTCTGTCTACTGTACTCTCTGCCCATCTTATTCCCAGTCTTTCTCCTGCACTCTCTGTCCATTTTATTCCCAGTCTGTCTCTTGCATACTCGGCCCATCTTATTTCCAGTCTTTCTCCTGTACTCTCTGTCCATTTTATTCCCAGTCTGTCTCTTGCATACTCGGCCCATCTTATTTCCAGTCTTTCTCCTGCACTCTCTGTCCATTTTATTCCCAGTCTGTCTCCTGCACTCTCTGTCCACTTTATCCCCAGTCTGTCTCTTGCTCTCTCTGTGTCATTCTCTGCACTTTGCTCTCCTTGTCCTTCTCATCCCATCTTTTTTCTTTTACTATCTCGCTGGCGATATTATTTTATCTACTGCACTCCCCATCATTCTCATTCCTAGTCTGTCTCTTCCTCTCTCATTCCATCTTATTCCCTGTGTGTCTCTTGCTGTTATTTTCATTTGTCTAATTACACCTGTTTTTCTCTCTCTCTTTCATCTCATTTCCACATGTCTCTTGCTCTCACATCTCCCTTCCTGACTATTTCTTGCTGTCTTCGTCTATTTCATTAAAAGTCTGTCTCATGCTCACTGATTTCATTTTATATACTGATAGTCTATTTCTCTGTCCAGATATATACCATTTCTGTCTGTCTCTTGCTACCTCCATTCTTCTCATTCCCGTGCCCTCTCTCTGTCCATCTTATTCCCAGGCTGTCTCACACTTTTTCCACCCGTCTCATTCCAGTTTGTCTCCTGCTCCGTCCGTCCATCCATTTAATTTCTCTTTTATCTAACTCTCACAATCTACCTAATTTCCTGCTAGTCATTTGCTCTCTCTGTTTATCTAATTTCCTCTCTTTTTTTATCCTTCCATCTTTTCTCTTCTCCTTTTAACCCTCCCCTATCCCTTACTACAATTCCCTCTATTATGTTCTCCCTTTGCTTATCTGAAAGTCAAACAAACACACATTCTGGCCTGCCTTTTATTGTCCTGTTTTTCATTCCTAGAAAACCATAGTGGTTTGGGAAGGGTTATGGCCACTACAGTCCTAATAGGGTTACAAAGACTATACGCTCAAGGGGGATTCAGGTTAATAATAACCTTGTGGGAGGCTGATTGGGATAATGACTCACACTGATCTTGGTGGTAATGACTAAGGGAGTAAAACAATTAATAATGTCTCAGAGAGTGATACAGTTAATGACTCAGGGAGTGATACAGTTAATAATGACTCAGGGAGTGATACCGTTAATAATCGCTCATGGAGTATAGATTTAGTAATGGCTTGGTGAATGAGACAGGTAATAAAGTAGGTGGGACAGAAATAATAATAGATTGGGGGCTGATACAGGTAATATATCAGAAAGTGATACTGGTAATCATCACTCAGGGAGTGAAACAGTTAATAATTGCTCACCGAGTTATGGATATAGTTATGGCTTAGTGAGTGAGACAGGTAATAAAGGATTGAGGGGTGGAGATAATAGATTGGGGGCTGATACAGGTAATATATCAACAAGTGATACAGGTATTGATGGTTAAGGAGTGATACGTGACATGGTAATGCAGGTAGTAATGGTGCAGGCAGTGGTTTGGGGGTAGATACAGGTAATGGTGACTTATGGGTGATACAGGTAATAATGGTATAGGGAGTTGTTCAGGGGGGTGATCCAGGTAATAATGGTACAGGGAGTTGTTCGGGGGGTGATACAGGTAATAATGGCACAGGGAGTTGTTCAGGGGGGTGATCCAGGTAATAATGGTATAGGGAGTTGTTCAGGGGGTGATCCAGGTAATAATGGTACAGGGAGTTGTTTGGGGGGTGATACAGGTAATAATGGTACAGGGAGTTGTTCAATGGGGTGATACAGGTAATAATGGTACAGGGAGTTGTTCAATGGGGTGATACAGGTAATAATGGTATAGGGAGTTGTTCAGGGGGGTGATCCAGGTAATAATGGTACAGGGAGTTCTTCGGGGGGTGATACAGGTAATAATGGCACAGGGAGTTGTTCAGGGGGGTGATCCAGGTAATAATGGTATAGGGAGTTGTTCAGGGGGTGATCCAGGTAATAATGGTACAGGGAGTTGTTTGGGGGGTGATACAGGTAATAATGGTACAGGGAGTTGTTCAAGGGGGTGATACAGGTAATAATGGTACAGGGAGTTATATATGGTGTAATGGAACAGAATGAAATACAGGTAATAATGGTACAGGGAGTTGTTTCGGGAGGTGATACACGTAATGGTGACTCCGGGAGTGATACAGGTAATAGTGGTATAGGGAGTTGTTGGGGGGGTGGTGATCAAGGTAATAAGGATAATGATACAAGGAGTTGTTCGGGGGTGATCCAGGTAATAATGGTATAGGGAGTTGTTCGGGGTGATACAGGTAATAATGGTATAGGGAGTTGTACGGGGTGATACAGGTAATGATGGTATAGGGAGTTGTTCGGGGGTTGATACAGGTAATAATGGTATAGGGAGTTGTTCGGGGGGTGATACAGGTAATAATGGTATAGGGAGTTGTTCGGGGGGGTGATACAGGTAATAATGGTATAGGGAGTTGTTCGGGGTGATACAGGTAATAATGGTACAGGGATTTGTACGGGGTGATACAGGTAATGATGGTATAGGGAGTTGTACGGGGTGATACAGGTAATGATGGTATAGGGAGTTGTTCAGGGGTGATACAGGTAATGATGGTATAGGGAGTTGTTCGGGGTGATACAGGTAATAATGGTATAGGGAGTTGTTCGGGGGAGGTGAAACAGGTAATTATAGTATAGGGAGTTGTTCAGGGGGGTGATACAGGTAATGATGGTATAGGGAGTTGTTCGGGGTGATACAGGTAATAATGGTATAGGGAGTTGTTCGGGGGGGGTGAAACAGGTAATTATAGTATAGGGAGTTGTTCAGGGGGGTGATACAGGTAATAATTGTACAGGGAGTTGTTTGGGGTGGGGGTGATCCAGGTAATAATTGTACAAGGAGTTGTTCGGGGGGGTGATACAGGTAATGGTGACTCAGGGAGTGATAGAGGTAACATTGGCATTGGGACTTATTCAAGAATTAATGACTCAGGCATAACAAATGAAACCCTGATTCTGGGAGTGATTAAGGTTAAACAAAACCAGGGGTGATACATTTAAACAAGCTGTCTATACCTTTATTATTAAGCCTAGCATGCTTTCTCCTCTATATTTTATTATGATGCCAAATCCGCTCTGGTCCCCTCACTGTCCCTCCTCCTGTGGATTCGCTAATTCCCAAACATGTACTGCAGTCAAGATCTGCACCCCCAGGAGGATTCCATTTCAAAACAAACATTCGGTTAGCTGCAGTAAATTTGCATGCCAGATCAGAATACAAACACAGGCTTGGTAGACCTGCGACAGGCCTGCCCGTACTAAGGACTCGATCATGGGGTATTTGTATTGCAATCTGGGTAATCACCTGGTAAACAATATCGCACAGGCACAGGTTTCGAAGCATCCAAACTAGCAATTATATAATTATACTGACAGAGAACGTGTTATGACTGTATACGGGCTGACTGTATAAATCTGGACAGGGAATGTGACCTTACCATATAAGGTGGAATAGAGGAAGGTGGTGTAAAAGAAAGATAGAGAGATTGGGGGCAGAGTAGAAAAAGAGAACCGGATAACAGGAGTGCGTGAAAAAATAACTGGTTTCTGGAAGGATAGTGGAAAAAGGCCAAATTAGAAGAAAGTTTGGGGAGAAGAAGGGCTTCACTTCTAGGTCTTCCGTCTTGCTCGAAATCTGTCATATTCACACCTCCTGTTTCCCCTAGGTCTGCTGTTCTATCACTTCATCATTTCCTATATTGCTTTTCTCTATTTCACACAGGACATACTTGCAAACGAGAGAAATCTCAATGTTTCCATCCTGGTAAAATATTTTATAAATAAATAAATACATTTTCATTCCTCCAATAATTTCCAGGTATATCCTTCTCTTCACCTTCCTCTTTGTTAGGTGTTTGCTCTCCTATGCAATGCTGTGGCCTTGCTCTCAGTCTGCCCCTATCTCTCCTCTGCTCTGCTACCACTTGACATTCAGGTCTTTGACTACAACCTGCTCTCACTCTTCTCTTCTCACCCCTTCGTACTGCCCCCATGTTTGTCCATCTGTGTCCTTCACTAAGACCTTTTGTCTTCTCCCCTGTGCTGTCAGGGTGCTTAGCCATGGATAAGTGTCGAGGACAGACAAATGTAAATGGAGCATGGTTGAAAAGAAAGAATGTCAAACTGTGAACATGTTAGAAGAGAGACGGTCTGAGAAGTGAATAGGAGTAGAATAAACACCACAAATATTACACACTAATATTCGGTCACAAAGGTTCTGCTTCATTGTGCTCACTGTTGTGGTATACAATTTATAGAGATTTTGATCATAAACCATGTTTTTTTTTTATTTTTAGAGGCAAGTGCTCAGTCAACCACAGACTCCACTGCAACCAGCTCACCAAGCAGCAATGTAACCACAAATACCACTGAATCAACAGTAACAAATATAACAAGTACTGCTGCATCTACAACAACCAATTCACAAAATTCCACTGTATTTACAGAAGCCAGCTCGACAAACACTTCTGAATCCACAACACCGACAAAAATCACTGTATTCACAACACCCAGTACACAGAACACCACTGCAACCACATCAACCACATTTCCAAACACCACTGAAACTATACCACTGAATACCATATCCACAGCAACCAACTCCCCAAATGTCACAGGATCCACAGCAACCATCTCACCAAATGTCACAGGATCCACAGCAACCAACTCCCCAAATGTCACAGGATCCACAGCAACCAACTCCCCAAATGTCACAGGATCCACAGCAACCAGCTCACCAAGTGTCACAGGATCCACAGCAACCAGCTCAGCAAATATCACAGGATCCACAGCAACCAACTCCCCAAATGTCACAGGATCCACAGCAACCAGCTCACCAAATGTCACAGGATCCACAGCAACCAACTCCCCAAATGTAACAGGATCCACAGCAACCAACTCCCCAAATGTCACAGGATCCACAGCAACCAACTCCCCAAATGTAACAGGATCCACAGCAACCAACTCCCCAAATGTCACAGGATCCACAGCGACCAGCTCACCAAATGTCACAGAATCCACAGCAACCAGCTCACCAAATGTCACAGGATCCACAGCGACCAGCTCACCAAATGTCACAGAATCCACAGCAACCAGCTCCCCAAATGTCACTGGATCCACAGCAACCAACTCCCCAAATGTCACTGGATCCACAGTAACCAACTCCCCAAATGTCACAGGATCCACAGCAACCAACTCCCCAAATGTCACTGGATCCACAGCAACCAACTCCCCAAATGTCACAGGATCCACAGCAACCAACTCCCCAAATATCACAGGATCCACAGCAACCATCTCACCAAATGTCACAGGATCCACAGCAACCATCTCACCAAATGTCACAGAATCCACAGCAACCAACTCCCCAAATGTCACAGGAGCCACAGCAACCAGCTCACCAACTGTCACAGGATCCACAGCAACCAACTCCCCAAATGTCACAGGATCCACAGCAACCAACTCACCAAATGTCACAGGAGCCACAGCAACCAGCTCACCAACTGTCACAGGATCCACAGCAACCAACTCCCCAAATGTCACAGGATCCACAGCAACCAACTCACCAAATGTCACAGGATCCACAGCAACCAACTCACCAAATGTCTCAGGATCCACAGCAACCAGCTCACCAACTGTCACAGGATCCACAGCAACCAACTCCCCAAATGTCACAGGATCCACAGCAACCAGCTCACCAAATGTCACAGGATCCACAGCACAGACGAATACCGTTGTATCCACAGCAACCACAGCTCCAAGTACCAGTATATCCACAGCAACCAGCCAACCGAATACCAATGCATCCACAGCAAATACAACCACCATCGCCCCTCCATTATCTACTGCAGCTCCTCCATCAGTGTATGTGCAGATGCGTATTACGAACAAGGACTACACCACATCTCTCAATGACGCCACGTCATCGGATTACAAAAACCTAGCAGCCTTGGTTATAGAAATGGTAAATAGTTCCCTGATACCTACTTTATTTTCATTTTTCGCAGCCTTCTCCATCCAGATTTTCTCATTATACAATCTAGAATCTGAGACACATGCTGAAGCCCTATGTCTGGTTATAAATCTGAGTATTGCTAACTTTGTTCATGCTCTCCCTATTTCTTCTGAAATTACTGAGATGTCTATTGTACCCCTCATGAATGGCTAAATCTGATTCTCTCTTTTCTTTACAGTTTAATGTAGTTTACAACTGCTCTGGATGCAGCACTAGAAATACATATCTAGGAACGGAAATTCTGCAGTTCCGGTGAGTTTCATTATTATTCAAATTCAAACCCTTAATAAATCTATGAACAAGAGACTTTTCCAGTAAAGTATCTGAATGACATTCTTTAATAGAAACTATAGAACAATAGATCGATTTCTTTAAATGACAATGTTTTTACCATGCACACTTCTCTAAGTGCAATTTAATTAAATTTTATTTTATTTTTTGACACTCAGATTTAGAAATTAAGAGCTGATCAGTTTTTATTCTTCTGTATCACCATTGTTTCAATTCCTCAGTGATAAAATAGGTGATTCAAATATTTATGATACTGAAGGGGATTGATCAAAAGCGTAGGGAAATTAAAGTGACCATTTTATTTGCTGCGATATTTGTTCTTTTTCGCTCCTTCCTTCCCTATTTCTCCTTTTCCCTCTTCCCCTCAGTTTCCCTTTCCCATTCCTTTATCCAAAACTTATTTAAATCTAATCGAGTATTAAAGTGTAATTCTATTAAAAGTATCTATTACAAATACACTGAGGTAGAAAATCAAACTCCATTCACACAACCATTTATACCTGTCCTGGCGTGAGAGTGGGGACGTTAGTTGGAAGGAGTCTCAGGTAAGTCTGTAACCAGAGGCCAGAGTTTCCATATGTCATTATAAACCCCCAAATTCTCAAGACTAACATATACAGCCTTCTCCATGAATCTCCGATAGTCCATTTGTGAGGCAATTTTGGATTTAGGGATCGCTTCAGATCTCCATTTTCACGCCAAACAGACTTTGGTGACCATTAATATATGCACAATTAGCATTTTTATTTCTTCTTTCAATTTGGGGAAATCCAAACGGAACAAAAAGAGTTGGGGGGGGCAGTTCAATATGGGACTTTGTTAAACTTGGAAGTTCATTTTCTAACTTGACCTTCAAAGGTAATAGGCAGGTATATTCCCACTCGCATCTCCAACAAAGATCACTAATGTTGGGTTGAAACTTACTTAACCTGTCTGGTGTCCGATACCATCTGTGTAAAATTTGGAGATAATTTTCAAACAGTAAAATACTATGAATAGTTTTTTTTTGTCAGATTTAAAGCGGTAACCCATTCACTGGATACAAATTCTGTGCTCAGCTCCCTTTCCCATTTCATTTTTCCACGAAGCTTTGTACCTGTTTTGCTCGTATTTAATAATTCTCTAATCTTAGAAGACAAATTGGAGCCATTATCTAGGTCATAGAGTTTTTCCAGCTCATTGCCGCTCTTAATTTCCCTATTTTTTTAAAAAGGGTTTTCATTTAAAGTAAGTAAGGTATTCTTTGCTGGAAATTCCATGATTTGTACGTAGAGTAGTGAATGGTCTAAAAATCACTCCGTCAAATAACTCTCCAATATATCCAATGCCAGCATTTACCCAACTCCTTATATTTATATTATCAATATATAGGGACAAAGCTTCTATAGGAGCATCCAAGGAGATACATCCTTTACTATTATGCTTCTGTCTTACAAGATGGGTAACATGATAAATTTCACCCAGACGTTATTCACCAAGACTTTATATTCCATGTTAAGTCGTTTAATAGCCAAGTTATCTGCCCAAAGCAAGATAATAGGGTTCTTGTTGGATAAAACGTGTCTTTCATAACCTAACCATAAACAATTTTCTAGGACCTTAAATTTACATTTAATCAAATTTGATAGCATTATGGAGTCATAAATCAAGTATACACCGGGGAGGGATGTTCCAGAGACCCTGGCAGGAGCCATGTAAAGACTCATAATCCTATCCAGTATATGCCTCGTGACTCCGAACGCCTCCAAAACATCCGACAGATAGTGCCAGCTAACTCTTTCAAAGGGCTTTTTGGCGTCCAGAGCCACGAAGGCCACCAGGAAGAAAATAGATTTGCAGATATGGTTTAGATGTAACAGTTTGCAAACGTTATCGCCTCCCTCACGGTCCTTAACAAAGCCTGTTTGATCAGGATGAACTAATTTGAGAATGAAATCCTTTAATCTCTCCTCCAGGGTCTTGGAAAATATTTTAATATCGGTATTCAACAGGGACATGGGGCGATAGTTAGTGACGGAATTATGATCTTTGTCTGGTTTAAGAATCGGGGTTATACAGGCTTGTAGCATCTCCAATGGGAATAGGCAACCCTTATCTATTTCTCCAAATACTTTTAGTAAGATTGCAGCTATTGTAGGTTCCATTATCTTATAGAAAAGGGCTGTGTAATCATCCAGCCCTGGCGATTTTCCCACCTTAAGGTCTTTAACTGATTTAGAGATCTCATCCAGGGTCAGTGGAGAACTAAATTTCTTCAAGTCTTCCTCGCCCAATCTTGGTAATTTACATTTTTTGAGGAACTCGCAGATTGCTTCTGAGGTTGCCCGTTCCGATTGGAGATTATACAAGGGCCCTGCAATATGAGGCAAAAGCTTTACCTATATCTAAAGGAGAGATATTAACTTTGTCTCCCCCAATTATCTTCCTAATTATTTGGCTTCTCTTTTTAAACTTAAGTTTGTCTGAAAAATGCTTGCTAACTATAATACCCCCATGGTACCAACATTGGTTCAATTTTATTATGGCGTTGTTTGTTTTTATTCCTAATTTATTTCTTATTACCAATTGGGTCTCCCTGGTTTAATTTTCTTAACAAGGGTATTGACCTCCATATGTATAATAATACCCAATGTTCCTTTTTAAGGATGAATAAGTATGTAGAGGTTTAGAAAAATACCCTTCTCATTAGAGATTGTTTTACCTGAAGCTGAAGGAAGCAAGGTGAATTGTTAGTGTAGGACTCCCCTAAGAGGTTCGCCTTGACGTGGCAGGTGGGCTTACATCTAATGGCCATTGGAGTGGTACTAAAAACCTTCAGTTATTTAAACATGCATAGGGATTTGGGATAGTGCCCAAGTAACTCTTGTTACATAATGTCACATAAATAGGGCATGCCTCCACATTCCGTACCATATTGATACACGCATGTATTGCAGTAAATAGAATCTATCATCTTTGGAAAATAACTGGATACAATAAATGAGTTCCAGTAGTTTCACAACTTTTTATGGTTTTAATGTGAAATAGTATATACATATGTATATAATATTAACACCTGCCAAAATGAATCCAATTTGTATAATGACTATTGTACTTGGCACAAATTAGGCATCTACCTAATTTAAACCCCTTAGGTTTAAATAGTCCCATTGGAAATGAGATAAACATGGTAAGTATATGAATAACGGCCAAATTACTACAGCCAAATCTTTAAGATGTCCCAATAAATACATCCGTGTTTTGATATTGCTCTTGTGTAACCAAAGTGTTCTGTACTGCTTCGTAAAAAAAAGTTTTAACAAACTGATTTATTTTTGCTTTAGTTGTAATGACACCAATTTTGCATAAAATATTTTAAAGCATAGATATGTGTAGAAGGAGAGAAAGTGACACAGACCATAAGATAAGGTTGAGTCATATTACTCTAAAGATGTCACGTGTGGGTCTAGCCTGGATAGTATTTTAAATAAATAAAAAAACCTCCAACTCTTTAACAATCCTCTGGTGGTATTAATGAAGCCCCCTCTTATCGCAAGACAAGGTTGATGGAGTTTATGTGGTCGGGGTTTCCTTCTCTCTATACCACTAGACTAGAGGAACCTGCTCAACAAAGTCTGGCCGCTGGTTACTTAGACAAGATGGCATAGGAATCAATGGCATAACGCTTGAGCTACTTCTCTCTACATTTTTGTCAATTTTCGTAATATCAGCTCACATTCTGTGTATAACTATGTAAACTTTATTAATGCTTTACGGTTCTACTTGCAGATCTGGATCTGTGATTGCAGACACGAAAGTCCAGTTCTCCAATCAGGATAGTGCTAACAGTGCCCAGACAATTCTAAATGATAAATTAGCAACAGCTGGCAACACTATTAATGGGCTCACAGTTACTGATGTTAGAGGTAAGTGGAACAGATCTGTATAAGTATGAGTGTACACTGCATGCATTTTTACACACTGTTTACTTGGCTAACAAGTAAGCAGAGAAATCAGTATGTGATGTGTTTACCCTGCCCACGTCTGTACAGGGATCAGTGTACTCCTTAAAAAAAAAGATATATACCTGAATCGGGATTAGTGTAAACTGCACTCTTCAAGTTAAAGGGACATTGCAAGCTAAATGGCTGCCCAATTTCAGTTTTTTTGTCAAACCACTTTCAACCAGCACTGTTAGCCTTCCCATCTGTCCCCGAGAGATTCCACTGCACAAAAGAGCTGTTGATTTTTAAGTGCCACGCTTCTGTCAAAGAGAACGTGAAGCTTCTCACCCAATTGGTTCTAGGGGAGTACCCCATTTTTTGTGAATACCCGTGGAAAACATTTTGAATAATACCCAAAGGGATTGCATGGAGAATCTACTTACGCCATAATCAGTGCAGAGAGCTGCAGTAATAATGGTGTTTAAAGTGTCCCTTAAAAATAATATTTTCATATTCCACATCGCCCATTAGTGCAATTGGGCTGTTTTAAAACCTCACTGGCTCTCGCTGAAGAAGGTGTCGTTTTCAATTATATCAACGTGGTTAGATGCAGCTTAGATGGACCAAGGCTGATTACATAGTAACATAGCTGAAAAGAGACATGCCTTCATCAAGTTCAGCATTTTTCACATCTTTATTTGCCATTGATCCAACAGAAGACAAAAAAAAGCCAGTTTCTAGAACTTCCAATTTTGCAGCAAACTAGGAAAAAATCCTTCTTGACCCCAGAATGGCAGATATGTCATATTTCTCCTTGGATCAAGAAGTTATTACCTATCTAATTAAAATACATCCCTGAATATTATGTTTCTGTCTGGAGCTAGTATCTTTGACTTAACTGGGATATGAACAATCTCTTTGACCCAAATTGCCAGGATTCACATTAATAGTGAAATTAAAATGTTGCCTTAAAAATGTTGACATTTATTATGACGATGCTATACTGTTGCAATGCTGAAAAGGTTTAATAGTGCTTTAGTAAAGCAACTCTCTTAGTAATGTACCGTCAGTACAATGTACAGAAACATTGAAAACACACCTTTTCCACTGCAATGATTTACATTTATACAAATTCGGGAGCGGTGCAGTGGTTTCTGAGCAGAGCATGGCTAGGTACATTTCCCTTTATAAAGTGTTATAACAACAAAGTAGTTAAAGTTTCAAGAACGGGCTTGACTTTGTCAAGCTTATCCTTAAACCACACAAATCTAAACAAATTCTCTTCATATTTGTGTGCTACCCCATCTTTAGTCTATACTCCTCCCTTCTTGGAGTTGTTTAGATTTGTTTTGTTTTTTTGTACATTGTATTGGTGTAAGTGAGGTACACTTTTTGGGTGTTAGCACTATCTTCTGGCTTTTTGGGGTACCATAAAGTAAATTTTTTTGGTATATTATCCTTTAACCACACAAAGCCTTTCATCCAATAGAATGATAGATTCATGGAAAATAACACATTTTATTATTTTTTTATTCCAGTTAGTAGTTCGCCGATACAGTCTACCACAACAGATACCGGTGTGCCCGGGTGGGGAATTGCCTTACTTGTCCTGGCGTCTGTCATTCTTCTTCTTGCCATTATTTTCATCATTGTCATGGTAAGTGGTTAAAGATCTCTTATTTTCCCTATGCACTATTCTTTCCGTGTGTCTTACCCGTTCTTGCTTTTGCTTAGATAATCACAATGTGCCGTCGAAAGAGCAGCGGTTACATGGATGTATTTTCGTCACGTGGCTCATACCACTCCATGAACGACTACAATACCTATCAAACTCACGGACGCTACGAAGCTCCCAACAAGCTAGGACAAAGTAATGAGGTAAGCGATCGTAGGGAATGAAAGCCTATGTCGCTTGAGATAGCTCGGTAGTCAGTGCTCCAGCCGCACTATTTCCTGTACCTCTTCAAATCTATTTGTCTTGACGTAGGTTTAATTCCTAACAGACTTTCAGCCCACTAAGGTCAATAATATAACTACCACTTAGTTGGCCAACAACACCTTTACAGGACATTCTTTAAAACTAGTGTAAGCAAAATATATTCATACTGTGTATGTCTGATTCTTACCACTGTGTTTGCCAGAATCTGCCCAGCATATCTAGCCTCATAGTATGCCATATTACGCTTGGCAAAGGCGCCTTCTAAGTTCGGTTCCAGTTCCTGTTGATATGCTCACCATTAACTACAATCAGTAACCTGTTATTCTCACTATAATCACTCACAAAATTCCAAGTTCCTTTTAACTTGAAAAAGAGAGTGTTGCAGTTATAGCAAACGCATTCACACATCTTAACTCAGACAGCATTTTTACCACATTCACAAACAATCTTCTTCATTTTCATCTCCTGCCTCACCTAAACAGTGTTCTTCTGTAAAACTTGGCAGGGTTTGTGTTCTAGCAGTAACATAGAACTTGTAACTTGTAATAAAAAATTATTTTGGACCATCTGCAGGGAAATGACAGATTCAAGGTGAACCTGTTCTGGGAAACAAATTCACATTTTTAATTAGAACTCGGATTGCTAACCTGTCAAACATAATTCACTCTGTATTGTGAGCATGAGCGGAATGCTGTGTATCAGCAGGTGTGTTCGTTACCTGGGTGTAGACTGCATTAATTAAAGGAATTAGGGATTTGTCTTACCAGAGGCAAGTAATTCTGCTCCCTTCATTATTTCCAGCTTTGAATTGTGTATCGCTTATACCTGCTTCCCATTTATCTTGTGTTCTATGTTTTCAATGTTGTCAAAGAGATAGCAGAATACAAAACATGGTCTTAAACTGTAAGAAGTGGGGGGTGGAAGGGTGATAAGATGGTAACGCATAGCCCCTGTTTACACATTACACAATTCGACATAAGTGGATATTTCTGGACCTGAACTAGCACACATTCTTTTACTGGCTAGAGTTAAACATTAACATCGTAAAAAGCCACCAGGCATAAGTAGTGCCTTCTGAAATGTGGACATCCTAGCAAAGACAAACACACAATCCCTCCCCCCCTTTCCAATTTCCTGCCCTGCCGGTCACAGGGAGTTTACAACAAATGAACAAATGCAAACAGGTAAATTATCCCCCGTCATAAAGGATGAGTGTGCCCCTGGTGAGTTTCGACATTTTAATAGAACATTTTTGCCAGTTGACTGGGCAGTATGGCCTCACCTCTCCATCACGTCACCACATGTTATGTTATATGTTTCTGGATTTTTCAAAAATAACCTTTCGTCTTTCTCTGCAGGCTTCAGGTAATGGAACCAAAGGCAGGTTCTCCTACACAAACCAAGGCCTACAAACCAACGAGTTTTAAAAAGAGGAAACGGGACAAGCAGAGCACCCTTAACTGATTGAATTTTAATGTGAAAGACACTAGGCTTTATTTATCACACAAAACATATATTCTCCCTTTAAACTGTGGATACAGACTACTTTCAAACTGAAATGAACACAACATTATTTGCAGACCAAAGTATCTTCTGGACTTTAACCATCTACCATCTTCTCAGAAGTATCTCAGTTTCGCAGAATCTTTGGAGGTTTACTTCAGCAATTTGTGACTGTGACTTTGCAAACGCCTGATGGTTTGTAATAAGGAGTCGCGCTATCCCTTAAATAAAAGGCTTCTAATGTCTTAACTAACGGAATGATGAAGCTGGCATTCACCTCAACAAAATAAAAGGAAAAAGATGTCCTTTGAGATACTTCATCAATGAATAAAAAATATACCATTCATACAAAGAAACACTGTAGGACAAGAATAACCAGTTGAAACGCCATGCAGACACTATACTACAGGTATAAACCTGCCAAGAATACACTACCCTTTCGGAAAACAGAATACTCATAACACCATATTTAATAACAGTATTTTGTGGAGTCCAGAAAACTATTATAATAGCATAGACTGAAAAGCATTTGATCTGGACTAGATCCATACATTGACGGATTTTTATTATGTGCCGAGGTTTCATTAGCTTGATAAGACTTGGTCTGAACTTGCTCAGGGCACTGTGACAGACAGCTGGGTACTGCTGGTCACGCGCCGTAGGGCAGTCACAGGGATGGGTAGAACAAATTCAACGAAACCCTCCCTTTACAAACCTGTATGGACTTGCTCTTATCAAGACGTCTCTAGAGGTTTATGCCTGATTTCACTGCTTTCGGTTATCAAATCACAGTGTGACAAACTGTATTCATCTTTCTATAACTTTCTTTACAGCTCGTAATGTTTATATATTGTACCCAACTGTAATAAGTAAAACGTCAAGGGAGAGCAATGTTTGACACAGGGCGTGGGGGAGAGCATAGCTTATTACACCGATACATTGCTAGATGATCCTAAAAAATGAATGTAAAATGGCACTGTCCCTCGGAGCTTGTGAACTAAACTGTATTAGAAAGAAACAGGTTATCTTTGAGTCCTCTTATCCTGTCTCGGAATATACAGGGAACCTGACCAGTGAAAAAAATCGCATGTAAATGGAAGTCAGGCTCCGGAGCATCCCACACAATGAAGGTGGGAGTATGAAAGATCCTGACTCTAAGACGTGATATCGCCAAATGTCAAATAGCTGTCAAGTGCCAAATTCCTTTTTTATTATTAACGCTGCCCCTCCCTTGCCCTTCGTTTGTACACTCCAGACTGGGTTGGTCTCTGTGCACAAAACATTTGTTATATAAACAAGGATTTCAGTCCATGTTCCTCATACAGTGTAATTTTTAATTTATTTATTTCCGTGTAAGGCATTCAGCAAAGGCCTATCAGATGAACGTTTGCCCTTCACTTGTCATGGATTAATGCTGTATATATATATATATAATTAACCAAATAACTGGCCTGTTATATCATGACCCCCCCAGGTAATGGCACAGAAGCATTTGTATAAGACAGGGCTGGGCCCTTGAGATGTGACATGTACTCTGTTAACACAGAGGGAAATTGTAGGCCTAAAATGGCTGGCCATGACATACAGGTTTAGACCTTATTTCCCTAAGCATAGTCTGGCATTAATTATACAACACTGGTGGCAAAATGCAGCCTACCAGCTGCTGTAAAACAACTCTACCCATAATGCTTTGCCAACAAAGCTTGATGGGTAATGTAGTTCTACAAGAGCTGAGTGGGACTATTTTTTTGGACATCCATGTTACAGACTGTATTATGGCATGTGTGAACAAAGACATTGAATGAAATGGTCTGCTGAGATAAACTCAGTCTTTTTAACAAGAGACTTGTCTCTAAACTGGAAGGACAGGTCTAATGAAGAGCTATGTCTTATAGTATTAATCCTACCTGCAGGGCGAAGTTTGCATATTTAATTCACGTATTATGTATGAGTATATATATATATTTCTGAATTTCCTTTACATTGTACTCTAAGAATTTGTTTAATATAAAATAAAGATAATCTGAGAATTTGGTGTGCATTTTATTGCAAATGTGTTAAGACGCAACCTGAGTGATTATGGGAGGTGCACTTTAATTATAATTACACCAATTTACCCTAATGTAGCAGGACAAGTGGTGTCCGGAAAATGAGGTTTTAGCATTGTAAATTATAGTGTAAGGAAATTAGGATATTTCTATCAGTGAACACACGCCCCATAGCTCATATTGCCAGTGATGGTGGCAGGTAAAAGAATGATTAGTACTGATGACTGTACAATACAACGAGGAAATAATTTTTCACAAAGTCACTTTTAATATGGTTCTGTGCCATTTCAAAACAGTTTATTTGCATGTTTTATGTTGTTTGATGTAGGCACATTAAAGATGTCTAGTTATATTGCTTGCCCTAACTGCTGCTGGCAACATTACAAATACTCTATCGTCACACACACATAAAAAATGTCACATTCAAATTGCACGTAATGGCCTAGTACCCATACATATACCCCTATTTGTGCTGGTAAGATAGGGTTTCCTTACTGGCAAATTACTAATAAGTAGGAGGAAAATATGCGTGATTTTAGTATAAATCATTTTCTCTGAAATAATAATAATAATGTATACTTTAGTATTGCCTATTTTAATGCGAACCAATCTTTGTTGTGTTTTCTCTTAAAATACTGTAAAAACTCCAATAATGAATGGTACATGTGTTTCACATGGATTTTTAAAAAATTGTTGGTAGTGGCTTGTGATGGTTCATGATCTGCTACATGTAATAAAAGTCTAAAACATTTAATAATAACATAATTATCTTACATACAGCGCAGGATCATGTAATACGTTTTTGTTGATTTTTTTAGAATTGTATTAGTGACAAAAAGGTCCCAATATGTAGCATATCATATATATGTAAAGTATACTATATGACATAACGTCTCATGCAAATAGACAAACATAAGCAAAACAGGTAAAAAAAATAAAACATAAAAAATTGGACAGCATCAAACCAAAAGAAAAACTGCTCAGGGGAATGCAAAAACGTACATAGACATACAGCAAGTGTACTGTCGAACATCATAGTCAAGTGTCAGGGTGAGTGTTATGGCTATCTTCCATGGTGTTCTATCAAAGCTCTTCTTAACAAGAAACTGTGTGTAATGGATCAATGTATTAGTATCGTTTGTCGATGGGGGAAAAAAATCAAATTTTTATCTTCCTTGTGAGATAATTTGTAAAGAAATTGTAATTTCACGTTTGTATTGGGTGTGTGTAGGCTGCCTTCGTGTGATTATATTTACAGTTAGCCATTGAGGTAGAGCTTAAACATATACATTTTTAGGCACTTACCTGCCTAAATAAATTGATGAATAGCTTGAGTGAGCAGCTTAAAGTCCCTGGGGCGAAGGTTTAACAGAAAGAATTGGAGTGGATATAGTAAACATGGGAAGCTAATCATTTTAATAAGGATCACATGTCTCACAACAGAAAGGAGAGGTATATAAAGACGTGGAGGAACACCACTGTAGCGGGCCTCCTGGCAAGCCGACTTGTTGCCCCTGCTCAGCAACATCTTGTCCCTGGAATGGAATCAGTTATAATACAGAGCGACCTATTTCCCACCCACTAACCAGACGACACAGTCCTGGGGGACAACTTTGTTGGCCACACTCGGCTTTATACTTTTCCCCAGGCAAGGGGTGGATCACACATAAAGACAATGTCCCCTCCCAGAGTCCTCCGCCTCCCAGGAGTCGTATAATGGATCCAGAACCCAGTCCCTGTTCCCGACACTCAGGGTCCCCTCCCAGGGGTCTCCTGATAGTAACGGAACTCCAGTCCCTTTGTCCCCTGTTCCCGCCACCCATCCTCAGGGTTTCCCACCTCCAGGGACAGGGGGTCTTTATTAAATAACAATGGTGACAATGGGCAGCCTGTTTAAAACCTCTGCTTGAAGAGAAACTGTATTCCACATGGATTGGCTCAAACAACCCTTAACCCCGAGGACTACTCAATGCTGGAACAATTACATATTAAGCTTACATCAAACCAACCAACGATGCATAATATCCACTTTAGAACGTACTCAAGGGTACATGCAGCTGGTCCTACTAAGTGGGTTCCCAAACCCATAACAGTACATCCACTCCCCATATCATCTTCGTCTCTGCATATTGAAACTTTACAGGATTATGAGACCATATGGTGCACCACCACCAACCTCAGCACCCTTGTTTGCTGTTTATACTGCCAATTTAATTATTGGACTATGTCAGTCAAACGGGTTGTTTATTTTTATTACAAACAAAAATATACCCTATAAAAGATGATTGCTTATACAATTGATTGCACTAAGCTACATTGACAATTCTCCTTGTAATTGCTTTTTATTGTGCACTATGGTAATCTACTTAATAAAAAATTTTTATAAAAAAGAATCTGAACAGGCTGTTGCCACCTGATTGTGGGTCTTACTTTCCTCTGTCTGGAGACATAAGGAGTTATTGAAGGATTCGGTAACCTCTTGTAACGATGAATTGGATTTTGATTTCCACACCTTGTGCCTCAGTCAGATATAGTTTTTCACATTGGTCACCTAAACAGGTGTGCCTAAAACGTAGATCTCTAGATGTAGAACTACAACTCCCTTGATGCTTTGCATGCCTTTAGAATGCCTTTAAAATGACAAAGCATCATGGGACCTTTTGGGCACCCCCTGATTTAAACCCTCCTAGAGGTATTTCAGGAAGGAGGGATGAGGCACATTTCAAATTGCTGTTGATGACGTTTGTCGACTTTCAGAATTAGAATGGGTATAGTGCAGAGACAGGATGATCTCAGCAGTGACGTGTCTAAATAGAAACCCAACAAGCAGGGAAACTAAACAGAAAAGGCAACACGTGGAATGTAAGCTAAAGCAGATTAAGTAGTAATGATAAAACTGGAAAGCAAACAAATAATATAAAACCAAGATAACATAAACCACAATACAATGAAAGGGGTAATGAGCACAATAATAAAGCAGAACATAGAACAGTCTCTACAGGGACAGGGGATCAGGGACTGGCCTATGGATACATGGGATCAGGGACAGGCCTATGGATACAGGGGATCAGGGACAGGCCTATGGATACAGGGATCAGGGACAGGCCTATGGATACAGGGGATCAGAGACAGGCCTATGGATACAGGGGATCGGGGCCAGGCCTATGGATACAGGGGATCAGGGACAGGCCTATGGATACAGGGGATCAGTGACCGGCCTATGGATACAGGGGATCAGAGACAAGCCTATGGATACAGGGGATCAGAGACAGGCCTATGGATACAGGGGATCAGAGACAGGTCTATGGATACAGGGGATCAGAGACAGGTCTATGGATACAGGGGATCAGGGACAGGCCTATGGATACAGGGGATCAGAGACAGGCCTATGGATACAGGGGATCAGGGACAGGCCTATGGATACAGGGGATCAGGGACAGGCCTATGGATACAGGGGATCAGAGACAGGCCTATGGATACAGGGGATCAGTGACTGGCCTATGAATACAGGGGATCAGTGAACGGCCTATGGATACAGGGGATCAGAGACTGGCCTATGGATACAGGGGAGCAGGGACAGGCCTACGGATACAGAGGATCAGTGACAGGCCTATGGATACATGGGATCAGGGACAGAACTATGGATACAGGGGATCAGAGACAGGCCTATGGAGACAGGGGATCAGAGACAGGTCTATGGATACAGGGGATCGGGACAGGCCTATGGATACAGGGGATCAGAGAGAGGCCTATGGATAAAGGGGATCAGAGACAGGCCTATGGATACAGGGGATCAGTGTCCGGCCTATGGATACAGGGGATCAGGGACAGACCTATGGTTACAGGGGATCAGAGACAAGCCTATGGTTACAGGGGATCAGAGACAGGCCTATGGATAGAGGGGATCAGAGACAGGCCTATGGATACAGGGGATCAGGGACAGGTCTATGGATACAGGGGATCAGTGACTGGCCTCTGGACAGACCTATGGATACAGGGGATCAGAGACAGGCCTATGGATACAGGGGATCAGTGACCGGCCTATGGATACATGGGATCAGGGACAGGCCCATAAATACACAGGATCAAGGGACAGGCCTATGGATATAGGGGATCAGGGACAGGCCTTTGGATGCAGGGGATCAGTGACCGGCCTATGGATACAGGGGATCAGGGACCGGCCTATGGATACATGGGATCAGGGACAGAACTATGGATACAGGGGATCAGGGACAGAACTATGGATACAGGGGATCAGGGACAGGTCTATGGATACAGGGGATCAGTAACTGGCCTCCGGACAGACCTATGGATACAGGGGATCAGAGACAGGCCTATGGATACAGGGGATCAGTGACCGGCCTATGGATACATGGGATCAGGGACAGGCCCATAAATACACAGTATCAAGGGACAGGCCTATGGATATAGGGGATCAGGGACAGGCCTTTGGATGCAGTGAATCAGTGACCGGCCTATGGATACAGGGGATCAGGGACCGGCCTATGGATACATGGGATCAGGGACCGGCCTATGGATACATCGGATCAGGGACAGAACTATGGATACAGGGGATCAGGGACAGGCCTATGAATACAGGGGATCAGTGACCGGCCTATGGATACATGGGATCAGGGACAGGCCCATGAATACACAGGATCAAGGGACAGGCCTATGGATATGGGGGATCAGGGACAGGCCTTTGGATGCAGTGAATCAGTGACCGGCCTATGGATACAGGGGATCAGGGACCGGCCTATGGATACATGGGATCAGGGACAGGCCTATGGATACATGGGATCAGGGACAGAACTATGGATACAGGGGATCAGGGACAGGCCTATGAATACAGGGGATCAGAGACAGGCCTATGGATACAGGGGAGCAGTGTCCGGCCTATGGATACAGAGTATCAGAGACAGGATTATGGATACAGGGGATCAGTGACTGGCCTATGAATACAGGGGATCAGTGAACGGCCTATGGATACAGGGGATCAGAGACTAGCCAATGGATACAGGGGAGCAGGGACAGGCCTACGGATACAGGGGATCAGTGACAGGCCTATGGATACATGGGATCAGGGATAGAACTATGGATACAGGGGATCAGAGACAGGCCTATGGAGACAGGGGATCAGAGACAGGTCTATGGATACAGGGGATCGGGACAGGCCTATGGATACAGGGGATCAGAGAGAGGCCTATGGATACAGGGGATCAGGGACAGGCCTATGGATACAGGGGATCAGAGACAGGCCTATGGATACAGGGGATCAGAGACAGGCCTATGGATACAGGGGATCAGTGTCCGGCCTATGCATACAGAGGATCAGGGACAGACCTATGGTTACAGGGGATCAGAGACAAGCCTATGGTTACAGGGGATCAGAGACAGGCCTATGGATACAGGGGATAAGAGACAGGCCTATGGATACAGGGGATCAGGGACAGGTCTATGGATACAGGGGATCAGTGACTGGCCTCTGGACAGGCCTATGGATACAGGGGATCAGAGACAGGCCTATGGATACAGGGGATCAGTGACCGGCCTATGGATACATGGGATCAGGGACAGGCCCATAAATACACAGGATCAAGGGACAGGCCTATGGATATAGGGGATCAGGGACAGGCCTTTGGATGCAGGCGATCAGTGACCGGCCTATGGATACAGGGGATCAGGGACCGGCCTATGGATACATGGGATCAGGGACAGGCCTATGGATACAGGGGATCAGGGACAGGTCTATGGATACAGGGGATCAGTAACTGGCCTCCGGACAGACCTATGGATACAGGGGATCAGTGACAGGCCTATGGATACATGGGATCAGGGACAGAACTATGGATACAGGGGATCAGAGACAGGCCTATGGAGACAGGGGATCAGAGACAGGTCTATGGATACAGGGGATCGGGACAGGCCTATGGATACAGGGGATCAGAGAGAGGCCTATGGATACAGGGGATCAGGGACAGGCCTATGGATACAGGGGATCAGAGACAGGCCTATGGATACAGGGGATCAGAGACAGGCCTATGGATACAGGGGATCAGTGTCCGGCCTATGGATACAGGGGATCAGGGACAGACCTATGGTTACAGGGGATCAGAGACAAGCCTATGGTTACAGGGGATCAGAGACAGGCCTATGGATACAGGGGATCAGAGACAGGCCTATGGATACAGGGGATCAGAGAAAGGCCTATGGATACAGGGGATCAGGGACAGGTCTATGGATACAGGGGATCAGTGACTGGCCTCTGGACAGACCTATGGATACAGGGGATCAGAGACAGGCCTATGGATACAGGGGATCAGTGACCGGCCTATGGATACATGGGATCAGGGACAAGCCCATAAATACACAGGATCAAGGGACAGGCCTATGGATATAGGGGATCAGGGACAGGCCTTTGGATGCAGGGTATCAGTGACCGGCCTATGGATACAGGGAATCAGGGACCGGCCTATGGATACATGGGATCAGGGACAGAACTATGGATACAGGGGATCAGGGACAGGCCTATGAATACAGGGGATCAGAGACAGGCCTATGGATACAGGGGAGCAGTGTCCGGCCTATGGATACAGGGTATCAGAGACAGGATTATGGATACAGGGCATCAGGGACAGGCCTATGAATACAGGGGATCAGAGACAGGCCTATGGATACAGGGGAGCAGTGTCCGGCCTATGGATACATGGGGATCAGAGACAGGCCTATGGATACAGGGGATCATAGACAGGCCTATGGATAAAGGGGATCATAGACAGGCCTATGGATACAGGGGAGCAAGGACAGGCCTATGGATATATGGGATCGGGGACAGGCCTATGGATACAGGGGATCAGGGACAGGCCTATGGATACAGGGGATCAGAGACAGGCCTATGGATACAGGGGATCAGAGACAGGCCTATGGATACAGGGGATCAGGGACAGGCCTATGGATACAGGGGATCAGAGACAGGCCTATGGATACAGGGGATCAGGGACAGGACTATGGATACAGGGGATCAGAGACAGGCCTATAGATACAGGGGATCAGAGACAGGCCTATGGATACAGGGGATCAGGGACAGGTCTATGGATACAGGGGATCAGTGACTGGCCTCTGGACAGACCTATGGATACAGGGGATCAGAGACAGGCCTATGGATACAGGGGATCAGTGACCGGCCTATGGATACATGGGATCAGGGACAAGCCCATAAATACACAGGATCAAGGGACAGGCCTATGGATATAGGGGATCAGGGACAGGCCTTTGGATGCAGGGTATCAGTGACCGGCCTATGGA